CCTGCCCTGGGGCGTTTCACTAGTTGTGTATTGGGACTCCAGTAGTCCCACAGGAGCTCGGTGGTTAGCAAGGCAGGTGTGACCCATGTGTCTTGAATTCTGTTCTGATTGTTGATCTGTTTGTCTCAGTGGACTGTCAGTTCTTGAAGTTAGATATTATTCTTTCTAACTCTAACATAGTACCTAATGGTTAGCAAGTTTTCAAGAGATGTTATCTATGCCAAGACATCAGTCATGGGTAAACTTCTCAAGGGATTCACAATTTAGTTTAGAATAGCAGCATGTTCATACTCAGAATTTGTGATGCTACTAGGTAATATTGCGATGAGATTTCTCACCTGATTCTTGGATATTGTGAAAAATAATCTTGTCTAATCACAATAATTTATTAAAGCAGATGATTTTATACAGCTTTTGTGATCTAAAGTATTATTATTATGGTTACTTGGAATTAAGAATTGTAACTTCAAGAAAAGGGACCATGGGACTGGGGATTTAGCTCAGCTGCATAAGCGCCTGCCTTGCAAGCTCACGGTATTAAGTTTGATCCCCGGTACCACAAAAGGAAAGAAAAGGGACCAGACAATTACGAGCTCCAAAACAGCCCACTTTCTCTCTGTGAACGTGGTCTCCACTTCTGTCATTATGATTTAATGCCTCCGTGAGCTCCTCCCCTTTGCCCTTGAGAGCTGTCAGGTCTTCGCTGCTTTGCATAGACCGTCTTCTCTGTTGCTGCTTTCTCAGCCTCAGCAAACTGTAATTTCACTTTATATCCTTAATTTGGACTCCTGCCTCAGAGAAACAAGGCAGTCAGACCCAATAAAACTTCCTCCTAGCTCTTACTTTTACTTACCATGCTTGTTTGTTCATTTGTGTTTTTTAACAGTAACAAAATTTTGCTATAGGTAGAAAAACAGGCTCTGCAGAGTGGGTTTGAGCCAAGGAAAAGTATACCCTGTAGCATGAGGGTAAGCCACCATGTAAGCAAGAACCCAGTGACCTGGTTGTTTTTTGAGACAGGGTTTCAGTGTGTATTCCAGGCTGGCCTTGAAATTGCAGCAGTCTTCCTGCCTCAGCCTCCCAAGTGGTAGGATTACAGGCGAACTCCACCATACCCAGCCACTGTGCTCACTCTTCTCCTGATGAGGACTAATCTCTGTTAACGACTGTTAAAAAAAATACATATTACATTTGTGACTGCTAAAGAAATACATATTACATTTTTATCAAAGTAATGTGTTTACATGGTTTTTAAAGCCCACCCAGCAAAATGGCCACCCACTACCCAGATTCACTGATGTGTTTCCTAAACACCAAATAGCATGCTGCTCCCTTCTTTACTTACACTTCATTCAGCCTTGAAGTCACTGTGTAGCCCCGGCTGGTCTCAAACTCATGACAGTCCTGCCTCAGCCTCCCAAATGCTGGGATTACAGGTGTGAGCCACCATGCCTAGGTTGATGTATACATTTTAGATATTTGCTGTCTGAAAAGTTTTATGTCTTACTCTCCAAATCTGTCTGCCTAATATATTGATAACAGTTTTATGACTCATTGATTTTTACATTACTTTATACATGTTTATTATAGAGTTAAATAGTGTACTGTGATTATTTTCTTTCAAACAATAACTTTTCTAGAATTTCTAGCACGCTTGCTTTTTGCAATTTCTTCTTTAAAATAGTCCTCCATTCCTGCTGCGGAAAGTACCATCTTCTTTTTTCATTGGGGTTGGCAGAAAGGTTCTTTCTTTCTCTGAAGTCACACATTCTTTGGCTGCTTGATTGCTCTGCAGATCTTTTGTATGGTCCTTACTATATTTCCCTTGACTGTTCTCAGAGCTTAGAGTAGAGTTTATTGAATTTCATGGCTTCCTATTAGAGTGTAATGCCTCCTTTTCCTGAAGTGCGTACTCTAATAGCATGCTAAGAAAGTATGGGTGGGAAGTAGATTTTTTGAGTCTTCACATGTCTGAAAGTTTCTTATACTTGTCTAGGTAGGTGTTCCTTATTCCATACTTGACTAATAGTGTGGCAGTAGAAATTGAAGTTGAATATTAGAACTCAGGGCTTTGGATTCATTGTTCTGGTTTTTTTTGTTTGTTTGGTTGGTTTTTTTTTTTGTTTTTTCTGTCATCTAGAATAGCTATGGTTAAAAAAATTAGCTATGGTGATGTTTTGATTTTTTTCCTGGTTTAATTACTATCCCAACCTCCTCCAAACTTTTTTTCCGTAGTATTGTGAAATTTCACAGTGATTTGTTTGTTTGTTTGTTTTATTAGTTGTACTGATTGTGCTGGGCCCTAGCAAGCTGGAAATTAAAGTCTCTTTACTTGGAAATTTCTTTGAGCTATTTTTTCATTAGTTTTTGGTTTTTTCTTCCTTTCTTTTCTTTCTGGGACTTAATAGAATTTTAGATTCTCTCTCTCTCTCTCTTTCTCTCTCTCTCCCCCCCCTCCCTCCCTCCCTCTCTCTTTCTCCTTCTCCCTCCCTCCCTCCTTCCCTCCCTTTCTCCCTCTCGCTGCCTCCTTCCCTCCCTCTCTTCCCCTCTCCCCCTCCCCCTCTCCCCTCTCCCCTTCTCTCCCTCTTCCTCTCTCTCCCTCTCTCCCTCTCTCCCTCCTGTCTTTTTGAGTCAGGGTCTCACTATTTAGGCTGGCCTTAAACTTGAAACCGCTACTGATTACAGGGGTGCAGTACCCATTGACTTTGGCTATAAGGCATGGAAGTACTAGATGTCCTAAAGGACCTCTTACATTTCATACATACTCCTTTTTACCTGTTTGCCATACTCATCCAGTTTAATAAAATCATTATTGTGTTGTGTTCTCTAATGAAAGTGTTCTTGTCTTTGAAACTAAGACTTTTGACCAGCAAAGCCTAAAATCACAGGGATGGAGCTAAAGATTTTGCAGAACTTCAAAGGGGCTGGGGATTTAGCTCAGCGGCATAAGCGCATGCCTTGCAAGCAGGCCGTCATGAGTTCGATCCCTGCTACTGATTAAAAAAAAAAAAAAAAAAAGAGTTTGCAGAACCTCGATTACTCTTGATTGATTTCCCAGACAATGAAACTTTTTCATAGGTCTCATTAAAAGCATAAAAGGAATCAAGCTGTTTCTTTAGTCACCTAAGTCAGAAACCTTGGAATCATAAATGCTTTTTTCCATGATTATTTTATTCCTACTGGTTACAAAGTCATGCTGTCTTTCACATTACCCATTTTAATGTCTCTTCTATATCCTATTAATCACTGCCACAGAATAGATGTTGCCTCAGTTGCCTGTAGTGTAGAAGTAATCTTAGAACTCTTCTCCTTATTCGTTTGCTATTCTACTAAAGCAATTGTTGGTAGATCATATTTGGTGACTCTTCAGTGCTTATAATTTCAAACTCTTTAACTGGCTGGATTAATTCATCTGTTGTAACAGAGCAAAATATAGAAGGCTTTAATAAATTTATTCTCTCAGGATTTGTGTGGTAGCTCAGAAACCTAAGTTCCTTACTCTGTTGCCCGTATTTACATGGCCAAGATGCTTCACTACTATGTCAGAGTCATCATGAAAAAAGAAATGGTACTGGATGTTGTGGTACCCACCTGTAATCCCAGCACTTGGGAGACTGAGACAGGAGGATCACTTTGAGTTCAAAGCCAACTTGGGCTACATAGAGAATTCAGGACCATCCTAAACTCTATATTGAGCCCCTGTCTCAAATGAACAAAAAAAGAATGTGGCCTTTCCTTCATAAGGACAACCCAGAAGGGTGCGTGAATCATTTTCACTCTTAGTCCATTAGCTACAAGTTCTAGCTGCAAGAGAGGTTGGAAAAGTCTCTAGTCAAAGGACCCAGCTAAAAACATGGGCAATTTATTACTTGTAGAAAAAGGAGGAGTGAGGAGCAGTAGTCTCTGCCACACCAGGCATACAAGATCTTGACGACACTGATGGTTACCTGCCTCTTTCCCGTATTTCTTCGTGTTCTGCCTTTCCACTCTTTTTTCCAGCTCTCCATAGTATTCTTCCCTTTGCACTGGCCATGCTAAATAAACTACTTGAGCTTCCGAACATGCTACGATGGTGTGTGTTTTTATGCCTTTCCTTATATTGCTTCTTTAGCCTGATGTGCCCTCGCCACCATATTCCTCTCATCTCCAACACACTTCAGCAACTGCTTTCAGAGAATGTTTTTCAAGATGCAACTGAAGCATTTTCTTCTGTGTGAAGCCTTTCCTGAACAGTGCTCCTCTGCCCAGATGGAGCTGGCCATTTTCTCCTGTTACCCTTTTGTACACAGATAGACTTTAACCATTACACCTGTTGTCACGTATTTCTAAATTCTCTTTCCACCTTATTATAAAGCCTTTAAGGGCACAGGTGACATCTTATTCACATATTTCTTAGGTGGTGTACAGAGCCTGACAGCTTGCACTAAATGTGTTTTCATTGCGTGTGTGAGTCCATAAAACAAGCATCTTTGCCTGGATTTTTTCTCAGCGTGTCAGAACCCAGTCTTATGATATAGCTGCTGGTTTGTTTTTTGTTTTCATTTTTGTTTTTGTTGTTGTTTTAACTTTTGTCAATTAATCAAGATCAGTGCTAGCTCCAACAGTGTTTATAATTGTCCTGATTTTTGTTTCATACTTAGGTTTTCAATTCAAAAGTACTCTTAGAGTTTTGGAATTTGTTAATTTTCTTCTGTTTTTTCTGGCTATCAAAGCAGAATATTTATAATTGCTTTTTTTTTAATAATTCAGTGACTTGCTGCAGGAGATGTGTTGAAGTGAATTAGATAATGCTGACATGATTTAAAACCTGTCCTAAGACCTTCTGAGCACTGCCACCTTAACATACTGGTTCCAAGATACAGATGACAGGATTTGTTTAATGACTGGAAGAGTCATTGTTATAAACAAATTCTAAGGCAAGAATGCCTTCTGTATTCTTACATGGAGAATTTCCTTTTCTGCTTTACTGTCTTGAGTAATATCTTTTGTTTTACTTGTAGATTTGATGGTCCTCGAAGATTTGAGGATTTAGGGTCAAGGTGTGAAGGACCGAGACCCAAAGGGCCTCGTTTTGAAGGAAATCGCCCCGATGGGCCAAGACCCAGATATGAAGGTCACCCAGCAGAGGGCACTAAAGGCAAATGGGGAATGATTCCCCGGGGGCCAGCATCTCAATTTTATATTACCCCCAATACATCCCTAAGTCCTCGACAGAGTGGAACACAGTGGAAAGGCCCCAAACCAACTTTTGGACAGCAACATCAGCAGCAAGCTAAGTCACAAGCAGAACCTCTTTCAGGAAACAAAGACTCATTAGCAGACACCAGTAGTAACCAGCAGAAGAATTTTAAAATGCAATCAGCTACATTTCCCATTGCTGCAGATATAAAGGATGCCAAGGCGGCTCAGTCAAATGAGAATCTAAGCGACTCTCAACAAGAGCCACCTAAAAGCGAAGTCTCGGAAGGGCTCATAGAGACTTCAGATTGGGACCAGAATTCTCAAAGTATGGATACTCAAATGGACAAAACCCAAGGTGTTACACAGCCTGTATCCCTTGCAAATAAACCTCTACCTACTCAATCTACTTTTCCCTCAAAAACGGGGGGCATGGAGGGAGAAACCTCGGTAGCAACATCATCGTCATTAACTGCAGATAATGATTTTAAACCTTTGGGTATTGGTCTGCCCCATTCAGAAAACAACCAAGATAAAGGACTGCCTCGGCCAGATGGCAGAGATAATAGATTAGAAGGCAGTCGAGGTAGCAGCTCATCCTACAGAGGTCCTGCACAAGGCAGAATGGAAGACTCACGGGATAAAGGACTAGTAAACAGAGGTCGAGGCCAGGCAGTGAGTCGAGGCCCTGGGTTGGTCAAACAAGAAGACTTTCGTGATAAGATGATGGGTAGAAGAGAAGACAGTCGAGAGAAGATGAGCAGAGGAGAAGGCAGCCGGGACAGAGGGTTGGTGAGGCCGGGAAGCAGTCGGGAAAAAATGCCAGGTGGACTGCAAGGCAGCCAGGACAGGGGCAGGGCTGGCAGCCGAGAAGGGGGACCCCCTCGGAGGGCTGGAAGTCAGGAGAGAGGACCCCCTCGAAGGGCTGGAAGTAGGGAGAGGGTACCACCCCGGAGAGCTGGGAGCAGGGAGAGGGGTCCACCTCGAGGGCCTGGCAATCGGGAAAGGGCACTGGGCAGACCAGATTTTGGTCGTGATAGAGGTCCATTCAGACCGGAACCAGGAGATGGTGGGGAGAAAATGTATCCATATCACCGAGATGAGCCTTCTAGGGCTCCGTGGGACCATGGCGAAGAGAGAGGGCATGAAGAGTTCCCATTAGATGGCAGAAATGCTCCAATGGAACGAGAAAGACTTGATGACTGGGATAGAGAGAGATACTGGAGAGAGTGTGAGCGTGACTATCAAGATGATGCAGTAGATCCATATAACAGAGAGGAGCGGTTCTCAGCACCACCATCTCGGTCTCATGACGGAGATAGGCGAGGCCCCTGGTGGGATGATTGGGAGAGAGATCAGGATATGGATGAGGATTACAGTAGGGAAATGGACAGGGACTTGGACAGGGATGTAGATCGAATTGGAAGACCCATGGATATGTATGATAGAAATCTGGATAATGAGTGGGACAGAGATTATGGGAGACCAGTGGACGAACAAGAGTCACAGTTTCGTGAACGGGATATTCCATCTCTTCCACCTTTACCACCCCTCCCACCTCTTCCACCTTTGGATAGATATCGGGATGATAGATGGAGAGAAGAAAGAAATCGAGACCATGGTTATGATCGAGATTTCCGTGATAGGGGTGAGTTGAGGATTCGAGAGTATCCAGAAAGAGGAGATACGTGGCGGGAAAAGCGAGATTATGTTCCGGACAGACTGGACTGGGAAAGAGAACGGTTGTCAGACAGATGGTACCCATCTGATGTGGATAGACATTCCCCCATGGCGGAACATATGTCCTCCTCACATCATTCCTCTGAAATTATGGGGTCCGATGCAAATTTAGACTCTGACCAAGGCCTTGGAGGGGTAATGGTTCTCAGTCAGAGGCAGCACGAAATCATTTTGAAAGCTGCACAAGAACTGAAAATGCTTCGGTAAGTTTACTCCTTAAGATCATTTCTTTTAGTTGAAGTCACTTTTCAGACTGTTCTTTTTAAAGTGATACGATGTATTTGAATGGAATCATTTTAGTTTTTATCATGTACTTTCAGTTTGTGTTTCTGATCATTCAGTGCTGTTTGGGGATTAGTATTTGTGTTTAGGAGCTGCTAATTATAAATGTGTGCCCTGAGATGTGCAAATTGATTGCTGCTTTGGCCTTTGTAGATGTGTTCCTTGCCTGTGCATGTTTCAAGGGTTAAACTTCAACTTTGTAGGGCTCTGGCTTTCACAGTGCTTATATGTAATCTGTATTTTTTTCCTAACAGACGTTTTGTTCTATGGTATTAGATATGACAGGCTTCATATTCACAAATCTTTGGTATAACTTTGGAAAGTGGTATGTTTTTCTTTGTTGCAGCTCAAAATGGTTTATCTGGAAAAGTCTTAGATTTGTCGGTTGAGACTTCATCTGGGGGATGTTTTCTTTTTCTTTAAAATTAGAAGCAGATATTTCCACCTAAGGTTGATACTTGTGTCTGTATAATGAGCTATTTTTTTTGTGAGATGGTGAATAGAGTTTATATTCCTTGACTTATAATCAACTATGTAAAAAGTTGTCTACACACTGCTTCTCATGTAGTAGCAACAATAACAAAGCTAACAGTTTACTGCATGTGTAACTGTGCCTAGGAGACCCGCTAAATACTTTGAATACAATAACTCATCTAATCCTTAAAGCAGTTATATACCCGGAGGTAAGAACTGAGGAGACTGTAACAAATTGTGAGCTTTCTTAGCAGGGTTTTGAGAAATTAATGGTTAGGTTTTGATGATTCTAATGTATTGTGTCTCTCTTTCACTTGTGGTTGCATTTGTGGATGCTATGAATTGAATTTGTAACTAACGCTTGAAGTCTAAAAAACAAAATGTGAGGAAAGGTAATCATGGGTAAAGATGAAAGACCAGATGCGTTAGGCAGCAAAACAGGTTTTTCTGGTCCATAATACAGCCTAAGGCTTTTATTTTTTCCTATATTGCTCATGAAGGAGATGAGAAAGCATGCCATCAAATATTTAGCTATTCACTTTTAAACTATAGGCATCTCTAATCCGTACCTACTCTGTGCTGGGCACTGTGCTAATAACTTAGTGTGTATTGTCTTAGTCCTGCTATCTCAGATGCTTCTATTTCATAACACTTCATGGATGATGCTAAGACTCAGTTAAGTTTTCTTTGCAAATAGGTAGTAGACTCAGAATTTTAATTCAGTCTGTCTGACTCTAAAATCTGTGTTGTTTAGGGGAACACCAAACTGATTAGTGTTGCTAAGCTGCCAGAATTTCTTTTTCATTTAAAAATTTCTTTTTCATCTGTGATAAAATTGAAATGCTGGATAAAAGATGCTATTTCTTTATTATCCTTTTTTTAAAGGTGTTTCTAGGCAGAATCAACATAATTAAATTATAGTAAGTGATAGGTAATCTTGGTCATAGTTGAGTACAAGTAGGTTATATTGTATCTGTATAAAGTCAAGAATATAAGGAGTACTTATATGGTGCAGAAAATAGTCTTACGACTTTGTGTCTGTTCAGATCACTGTGCTGAACAAAATTTAAGAAGAAAATTTAAAAATCTAAAGAGATTACAGAGGTTACATCATGTTTGATTGGTATCATAGGGACTAGGAAAATAGCTCAGCAGCACAGCACCCGCTGGCAAGTGCAAGGCCCTGGGTTTGATTTCTGGTACCAAAAAAATCCGTATCATAAGAAAAAATTAAAGGAATTTGGTAAGGCTTTTAAAGAAAAACCCAAAGTGTTACATAATTAATCTTTAGGAATACGAAATGTTTTTAAAGGTATAAACTGACAGACTTCTCACTATCTACATAGGGACCATAAGATAAAAAAGGCCCACTGGAATAATTTTGAATTTTTTTTTCCTTGCAGTGTTTCAGTTCAAATCAAGGGCCTTGTGAATGCTAGGCAAATGCTTTACCACTGAGCTACACCCCCAGCCCTAATATCTGAATTTACATGCTTGGTAAAAAATGGCAGCTAGTTTAAATTTTTAAAACTGATGTGAAAGCCAAGTTTGAAAGGACTTTTTAGGCTTAAAGTTCAAAGCACCATTTTTTGACCTCTGATCTCATCAATATCAAAAATATAGCAAATCTTTTGATTGAATGAAAGAAATCATGATAAATAGGGAAAATATTAGTATAGTCAATTGAGGCAGGTTGTAGGATCTATTCTTAGATTATAAGATTATAAATACTTTATTTATAAATCTTTGATGATTAATGAAATTACCTCCATAAAAGCAAGCAGATGTTATACCAGAGGTACAGTTTGGTCACTGCAGAGGATTTTAGAGAAAAGTTTTCAGGTCCCTCTCTTTTTAAGTTTGGTATTAATTATAGTCCAATAGGAATGGTGTAAACATGCTTTATATACAGTGGTAATTTTATTTGTTTACAGGGAACAGAAAGAGCAGCTTCAAAAGATGAAAGACTTTGGGTCTGAGCCACAGATTGCTGACCATCTCCCACCCCAGGACTCGAGGTTGCAGAATACACCAAGACCTGGGATGTATCCGGTACGGGAAAATGTATGACCAGGAAATATAATAGTTTCTGCTTTGTGTATTTACACATTGCCAGACCTTATTTTATTACCATGCATAAAAGTTCTTCATATAAAAATGTGCACTTTAAGAAAGTAAAAGTGACAGTTGAACGGCTTTCTTTGAATGGGGAATAGCTGAGACAGGCTGTAGAAGGGTCTTGCTTTATAGTTCAGACTGACCTTGAAATGACTATCAAAGGGTGGCCTTGAACTCATTGCAGTTTGTAGTTTTCCTGCCTCAGCCTCCTGAGTGCTGTGCTTACAGGCATGCACCATGATTCCTGGATTGATCTTTGAACATCTTTAAAAATGATCTAACCAGGTGTGATAGTGCATGCGTGTAATCACAGCACTTGGGAGGCTAAAGCAGGAGAATCATTGAGTATTCAAGGCCAGCCTGAACTGCATAGTGAAACCGTGTCTCAAGAAGACAGTTAATGAATGAATTAATTAAAATAAATATGGTTAAAATGCATAAGGAATACTTTTTCCCCAGGTTTTGATGAGTAGACCAAATGAACTATGTGACTTCATGTTCACAGAATTATAAAAACTTCTAGTAATTTTTTGTGTTCAAATATCTGCTGTCCTGTTTCCTATTTAGGCCAGGCTAGATGTGAGCTTCATAGTGCTCTCTCCCTCTTTAGACAATAGGTTCAGCTGGAAGAGGGGTCACACAAATCCCAGTACATACCTCCGGGTCCCAGGCAGAAACAAAAAGAGCCATTTATGTTGAAGTTGAATGATTGGTTTCTCCCTTTGTTTTACTTTGAAGTTGTTGTTGTTTATCACTGTTATACCTGAAAGCCAGTGATAGACTTTTAAAATGTTATCATGCAAATAATTATAAAACAGCACAATGAGGGAGGAAAAATCCACTGTTGAGCCATTTCACCAAATTAACTCTTCATTTTTCAAGATCCTTTTCCACTGTGGTCTAACATACATACTCAAACATAGTTGTTGACATCAGTGACTAGATTCTTGTTCACTCTCCAGTCTTATCTACTGACTTTGATGTGCATCCATTTCTCATGGATGTGTCACCTATCAGACTAAGTATGCTTTATAATGGAGCTAATTTCCATTTGTCTTCGCACACCATCACTTAGTGGCCATAACTCAAAATCTGAACATCGACCTACATATTTGCTTTGTCCTGCTTCTCCATATTCAGACATATTATTCAGCTGTCCACCATTGTGACAAGTACCTGAGAGAGATCAAATGAAAGAGATTTATTTTGGCACATGGATTTCAGTCCATGGTAATTTGACTCCGTCATTTCTAGGCCTGTTGTAAGGAAAAGCATCATGGTGGGACAGAGTTGCTTACCTGTGGCAGCCAGAGAAAGAGAATGAGGGAGAAAGGGAAAGGGTAGGGGGAGAGAACACTGTATTAATAGATCTCTTCCTGCTTTTGCTCTGTCAAGGCCTCTGCCCTATTGAATGGCACAGAGCAGGTCTTCTCCATCACTTTACTGTTCCACATGCAAGGTGTCTCTGGAAGGAACCTCACAGACACACCTTGACGTGTGCTTTGTGCTTACTAATTTCCTAGGTGTTTGTTGATCCAATCAAGTGGACAATCAAGATCAAAGCATCATTTTACTGTCTTTTTAATATTGGTCAGATACAGTGTTCTCTATTCTCCACTTCCCTACAGTTTCAGTTCTAGTCTTAATTAGTGCTTGCCTGGATTATTTCAGAAACACACTAATTTGTCATCTTCATCCATTTTATTCTTCTCTAACCTATTCCATACTATGCTGCCACGATGGTTATTTTTAATCAAATTTTGAGGTGTATTTAGGTATAATACATATAATAACATACCCTACAGTTTGAGTTTTTTGGGGTTTATTGGCTTTGTTTTTTGTCTTTTTGAAACAAGGTTTTGTTATGCAGTTCAAGATGGCCTTGAACTCACTATATAGCCAAGGCTGGCCTTGAACTCACAGTGCTCCTGCTTCAGTCTCTCGAATGTTGGGATTCAGGAGTATGCCACTATGCCTGGCCTAGAGTTTTTTTTTCTTTCTCTTCTTATTTCCTCCTTCAGTGGGCTAATTCTTGTGTTTTAGAACCCAATGATTACTATCACACCTACTTCTTACCCCTATAACATTTCGTACCAGACCCTGGCCTAGACTTTACCATAAGATATTTTGATTGTCTCTTTTCTAGTGTATCTTCTAAATAGCCCACAGGGTACAAACTGTATTTTTAATCTATGTCTGTTGGCAAATAGTAGAAGCTGTAGATCATGAATCCACAGTGCTGCTTTATTTACATAGTAAATCCTAAACATTTTTCCATCTTGCTGCATGTTACTTTTTCTTTTTGGTACCAAGGATCAAACTCATGTCCATTTTACTCTTCTCTAATCTATTTTATACTCTAATCTATTTTATACTATCAATACTCTATTCTCTTCTTTTCTGTTCTACTCTATATTATGCTGCCATGGTGATTATTTTTAATCAAATTTTTAGGTATAGTTTAGGTTTAATACATACAACAACTGGGAATATGGTTCATAGCAGTTGCCAGGTAGGTGCTTATATTGCTGAGCTAAATCCCCAGCATAAAATATTTATTTATTTTTTTGTGCTGGAGATCGAACTCACGACCATGCGCTTGCAAAGCAGGCACTTATGCTGCTGAGCTAAATCCCCGGCCCTTTTTACTTTTTCATTTTTTGTCTTTTTGAGGCAGGGTCTCACTGTGAAGTTCAGGCTGCCAGTCTTCCTGCCTCAGCCTTTCAAGTGCTGGATACAGGCATGTGCCACCAGGCCTAGCACAGATTCATATTTTGCTCTAATAATATAGAATAAAGAAAACACTTTCTATTTTATTTATAGATGTACTTGCAACAGGTCTTCAGATAGTTAAAACTTAACCTGAGTAGCTGTGCCCCAGACAGAATAACTCTGTCCTATATTGACATTTTCTTAACAAATGTTAAAGTGCTTATCCTAATAAAAAATTTAGCTCTAGGTAACTACCATTTCAGTCTGTAGTAGCCACTAATTTATATACCTTACATATTAGTGAAATCCATTTTTTCATGAAGTTTAGTTTTGAAGCAAAGCCTATATATGAGTAAACACATAAATAATGCACATTGCCTGTCTAAAATAGCTGTAATAAAGAATAAACCACCAACAGCGAACTAAGAAATGGAAAACAAGTATTTGACTCAGGCTTGCAAAGAGCAAACTGGCTTTGAGAAAACAAGTGTAAACATGCCCACAACTGTGCACCCCCTCTTAGAGGGATTACTGAGTGTCCTGTTCAATTTGTTCATTTGTTTCCTAGTTCTTATGTTTTGCATTGCAGGAGAATTTGTTTCTGGAATATGTTTCCGTCCTTGGAGATTTACTGTTATTTGTGAAGAAGATAGGTTTATAGAGGTGGGAATATGGCTCATAGCTGAGTTTCTTAATTAGAGGGTAAAACTCAGAATTATTTATGGAGGTTTTTTATATTTAATGTATTTTTATTTTAAATTGATAGTAATTTTACTTTTTTATGGAGCACAGTGACATTTCTGTACATATATATAATGCTCACAGAGTAATTAGCATTGCTGTCACTTCAAGCATTTATAGGTTTTTGGGTTGGAAACATTCAAAAATCCTCTACTGGCTATTTTGAAATACTAGATTGATAGTTGTCAACTGTAATTATCCCACTGTCCTATAGAACATTAGAAGTTATTCCTCCTATTCAACTATACCCTTTATGTGTTACTCATCCTCTTTCTATCCTTTGCCCATCTTCTCCCCTAACCCTTTCCTAATTTTTGGTTTTTGTTTTTTTTTTTTTTTTTTGGTTTTTGTTTTAAACCAATGACATGACCCCACTTACAGAAGTTTAGGTTTGGGTTGGGCCTGGGACATAGGAAATGAAGTCAGTTAAAGAGAAGAAAGAGTATGGTATGTTTTGTGTTTGTGTATCTGGAAGGGAGTAATATTAAGGACAATTTTTTTGTTTTTTAAAATAAATAATATTTGCATTCCTTTTGGGGAAGTGGGATGTGTGTATGTTTGTATATACACTTATCTTGATTGTTTTCTTAACACTCCAGTCTGTGGCAACCACTTTGAGCATTTTATATAAGTTGAATCATACAACATGTGGTTGTAAATGTCTGGCTTCTTTCATTTAGCAAATTTTCAAGATTCATCCATATGCTAGCGTGAATAAGTACTTCATTTCCTTTTCCTGCTAAATAATCTCCATTATATGGGTATACCACATTGTGCGTATCCATTCACTAGATGATGGACATTTGGGTTGCTGCTTAAGGTTACTATGAGTATTTGTGTGCAAATCTTTGAGTGGATATATTTTTATTTTTATTGATTGAATACCTAGGAGTAGAATTATTAGGTCATATATAAATTTGACTTTTTGAGAAACTGGTTAATTTTGTTTATTATAATCACTCTAGTGGGTATGAAATGCTGTCTCATTAATCAGTACCTTCCTAATGACTTGCTATTAAGCATCATTAAGTTTTTATTTTAATTTCTCCACTGATCTGTGATGGAATACCCATTTACTAAGTCATTTATTCTATTCTCTAGCCTCCAGGGTCCTATAGACCACCCCCTCCTATGGGTAAACCACCAGGTTCACTTGTAAGACCGTCTGCTCCACCAGCAAGATCATCTGTTCCTATGACCAGGCCACCTGTGCCAATACCACCACCTCCACCTCCTCCTCCTCCACCTCCTCCTCCTCCTCCAGTGATAAAGCCACAAACTTCAGCTGTAGAACAGGAGCGCTGGGATGAAGATTCTTTTTATGGACTCTGGGATACAAATGATGAACAAGGACTGAATTCTGAATTTAAGTCAGAAAATGCATCAATTCCACCTGCCCCAGTATTACCACCTCCACCTGTTCACTCTTCCATTCCCCCTCCTGGCCCAATGCCAATGGGTATGCCACCAATGTCCAAACCACCACCAGTGCAACAGACTGTTGATTATGGCCATGGCCGAGGTAAGGGTGAACTTGTGTTTGGGATTCTATAGGAATTAACTTTAGTTCATCGTACAGTGTTCACCCTGTCTTTTTTTTTTTTTTTAACTAGATATGTCCACTAATAAAGTTGAGCAAATACCATATGGAGAAAGAATAACCCTACGCCCAGACCCACTACCTGAAAGATCAACTTTTGAAACAGGTAGGATTCCCATAGAGATTTAATGTTTTTAAACCTAACTTAAGCCCTAAGTATAACTTGATTTTCTTTCTTTCATTCTTCCTTCTTTCCTTTGTTTGAATAAGATTCTCAAACCTTGAGATAGACGGAAGATTTCTAAGATGAAAGCAGGGCAACATTTTATAGTAATTCTAAAGTCAAGATTTGTACTTTTCTGCCTTTTATCCAAGAAAGCATATAGTTCTTATTTTGTATTAATTGTTTTTGTAGATCATGTAGGCCAGCGTGATCGTTACGATAGAGACCGAGACCGTGAACCGTATTTTGATCGAGATTTTAAAAGAGATCGGGAGACTCATAGAGATCGAGATCGGGATCGTGTTATTGACTACGACCGGGATCGATTTGACAGAGATCGCCGGCCCCGGGATGATAGGTATGATGTGGGAAATATCTTAGCTAGGTGTGAAAGTTAACATGTTTTAGGTTCAACAAAAGTTAGTGATTCGAAAATAAATTTAGTAAATGACTTATCCTGTGTGTGTGTGTGTGTGTGTGTGTGTGTGTGTGTGTGTGTGTGTGTAATTTAGAGAAGGAAGACCAAGTCCAGATCAGTTTTCAGGAAAGTACATACTTGAGCTTTGCTAGCTTGAATTCCAGATCATATAATGAGAGAGGAATGGTAATGGTGTTGTCGAAAAAGTGTAATCATTACTTAACTATAAGCAAGCAATTTATCTTGGCAATTTATGAGATTTTTAGATGTGTTTACATAAGGCAGAGCTAAGTGAAAAAGCAAAATAAAAATATTAGTTATGTAGAATAACTCCCCATTGAGAGAACTGAACAAATAATAGTGTAGTATTATAAAGCAGAAACCTTCAATATTTTTATTTAACTTGCTATACTTTCTAGAACTCAGTCTTATCGAGACAAAAAAGACCATTCCTCATCCAGAAGAGGGGGATTTGATAGGCCATCCTATGACAGGAAGTCTGACCGGCCAGCCTATGAAGGCCCGTCCATGTTTGGAGGTAAAGCTCTGTCTTATTAATTGTAAGGATATTGAGAATGTACACTGTTGGAAAGGGCTGACATATAATTGGGGATTTAAACTTTCTAAGTAAAATGTACTTAAGAATTTCTCAAATTGGGGCTGGGAATTTAGCTCAGCGGCATAAGCGCCTGCCTTGCAAGCAGGCAGTCGTGAGTTCGATCCCTGGTACCAATAAAAATGAAAAAGACCAAAAAAAAAAAAAAAAAAAGAATTTCTCAAATTGACAACATTCTATAAAAAACAGCAGTATAAGGCCAGGTATGATGTCACATTCCTGTAATCCCAGCATTCAGGAGCCAGGGGCAGGAGGATCAGTGCAAGTTTCCAGCATGGACTATATAGTAAACTCAAGACCACCCTGAACTACACAGCGAGACCCTATCTCAAAAAAAAAAAAAAAAGTATAGAACAGGCATGATGGTGCATGCCTGTAATCCTAGCACTGAAGAGGCTGAGGCAGGAGGATTGCTGTGAATTTGAGGGCAGCCGGGCTAAAGTGCATTCAGGCCATGTTGAAGTGCACAGTGAAACTTTGTTTCAAAAAGCTAAAATATAAGCTGGGGATTTAACTGAGTGTGGTAAGCGCCTACCTGGAAAGTTCTAGGTCATAAGTTCGATCCCCAGTACCAAAAAAAATAAAAGCCAAAATAGCCAGGTGTGGTGGCCGCCCACTCATAATCCCAGCACTCAGGAGGCTGAGAATGGAGGATTGCCGTGAGTTTGAGGCCAGCCTGCACTATGTAGGGAGACCCCATCTCAAAAACAAAATAACAAAAAGCCAAAAAATAAAGAATGTAATTAAAGAAATTGTGAAAAATAAATACAAAGTCACTTGTAATCTCACTGTACTACAACTATGGTATTTTTCTTTCATTCTTACTTTGCATATATATTTATAAGTTTAAATGCAGGGCAGTTTGGTTCTCTTCCAGTGTTAGAGATCAAACTCAGAGCCTCATTCATACTAGGCAAACACTGAGCACTGTACCACTGAGCTACACACCCACATCTAAATGCGGTTTCATTGTTGTACTTGTTAGAATTGATCATTACACCATATGTAAACTTATTAGTGGCTCTGTGACATTTCATTGAGATAAAAAAATAAGATCCTTATTTTGGACATGTAGTTTGATTTTCAGTGTTACAAGTTACACATAAACTGGAAACACATACCGGTAAGATTAAACTTTTGTGAGCTGATGACTCTTGTTTTTAACATTATAAAGCATTTAATTTTATAAACTATAAAATTAAAGTCATGTTTGGAATTGTTTAGTAAAGCGTTACTCTTCTCTATCTTATTAACTAAAAAGATGAATTCAGTATTTTGTGAACATTGTTTCCCTGTAATATACCTAAATCTTTTATTTTCTTAATTTCAGTAGATATATATTAAACTTTCTGTAATTTAAAACTGGCCCTCAAATCATTATGCTTAGTCTGAATTATGATTAGATTAAGAGCTGAGAGTTAACTTTCAAAATTAATTACTATAAGAATAGTAATTTTATTCAACTGCTGGAAATCCAGGAGAACGAAGAACTTACCCAGATGAGCGAATTCCCCTGCCAGCTCCTTCACTGAGCCACCAGCCACCTCCAGCTCCTCGGGTGGAGAAGAAGCCTGAATCTAAGAATGTGGATGACATTTTGAAACCACCCGGCCGAGAGAGCAGACCTGAGCGAGTGAGTCTTTTTCTTTTTATGGTTCTAGGTATTGAACACACGTCCTTATACATTCTGGGTAAGCACTGTACTATTGGACTACAGCTTACTAGCCCATAGATGAATCCTATGAGGTTAACTCATTGTTTTGTAAATCCAGAGATGATAAGAGATCTTTTTAATATCTTGACTAGAAATTCCCTTTTGCAGCATAGAAGTATCAGATTCAAGGCATCTTACCATCACTAAATCACTGTATAGTCTCATAAAGTACTTACCGTATACAATAATGAAATTAGCACTAAATTTTATGTCAAAAATGTTGAAAACTTTAAAAAATAATTCATAAGATCCCAATTAACTGCATTCTGAAGAGAGGAAAAGTACATTTGGTCTTAATGTATATATGTAGAATAAAGAGAAAATTAGAAGACTTGATACTTTAGGCATAATTTACTAGAGACTTCCATTGTATGCATTCTTTTAAATTTATCTTATGTTGTCTGAAATTATCTTACATTTATTTGAATAATACTAGAGATTTCAGCCAGATACTTTGATTTTGTATATCTGGAATTAATAGATCAATGTTTTGTGGTCTTTTTGCATCTAGTATTAAGGTATAGCTACACTAGCATTCCTGTGATTGCTAGTCACATGATACAATAGTCTACTCTTAGTGTAGTTTTGCTTTGCAGTTTTAGTTACCCAAGATCAACAGTGATCTTGAGTGGGGGGTTTAGCTCAGTGACACAAGTGCCTACCCTGCAAGTGCGAGGTCATGCTCTTGATCCTTAGTACCTCCCAAAAAAGATCCAACAGTGATGCATTGCAAGCTCAGCCCAGCTCCCTGTTTGATTTTTGAGTCTACGGATTTGAGTCCTCTTCTATCCTGTGATCATCTCCCTTCCCCTGTCCTCCTTGCCCTTCATTCTCTTCTCTTCTATTCTCTGTCTCATCTTAGCCTAGGTAAAATACCAATTTTTATCAGTCTTCTCAGATAACTGACTTTTAGTGTTCATAGTGCGTTTTGTGTTATATAATAAAATACCTGAGCCTGGGTACTTAAAGTAAGCGTAAGTGGTTTGTTTAGCTCACAGTTCAGGGATTCTTAGTGTCCCACCAGCATCTGCTTGTCTGTGCCAACAGCCTTCTAGATACATCACAACCTAGTGAGTAGTGCTGTGATGGAAATGTGTATAAAGGGACAGATCACAAGGCAAGACAGGAAGCCAAAGAGACTCTCAGGTTTCCCTTCTGAACAACATCTTGCACCCCGTGATCACTTACTTCCCATGCGGCCTTGTCTGTCTGTCTGTCTGTCAGTCTGTCTGTCTGTCTCTCTCTCTCTCTCTCTCTCTCTTTCTCTCTCTCTCTCTCTCTCTCTCCTTCTCCCTCCCTCTCTCCCTCTCGCCCCCTTTTTGGTATCAGGAATCAAACTCATGACCTCACTCCTGCCAGGCAGGCACTTACACTGCTAAGCAAAGATTCCAGCTCCTCAGTTCTACCACATTGGAACCCAAACTTCCAGTTGTGAACCATTGGAAAACACATTCAAGTCATATCCAAACCATAACAAATTGTATTGATTTTTATTTTTTAAAATTCTCTGTTTTATGAGTTTCTGTCCTAATCTCATTTCTTTACTTTTGTTTCTTTAGATTTAGTTGCTCTTTTCCATTGTTTTAAGTTGGAAGTTTAGATTATTGATTTTAGCTTTCTTTTTTTTTTTTGAGACAGGGTCTCATTGTGTAGTTCAGGCTAACCTTGAACTCACAGTGTAGCGGAGGCTGGCCCCCAGCTCACAGCAAGCCTCCTGCCTTCACCTCCCAAATGCTGGGACTGCAGACCTGTGACACCACACCCAGCAAGCTTTCTTATAGCCATATATAGCTGTAAATTTCATTTTAAGAACTCTTTTAGCCTCATCCCATGAACTTTGGTATATTGTATCTTTATTTTCATTAACTTCAGAGATTGCATTTTATTTTCGTTTCTTTGACTCATTGGTTACTTAGGAATGTGTTGTTTAATTTCACCATATTTGTGAATTTCTCTGTTTTCCTAGTGTTAATTTTTTATCCATTGTGATCAGATAAAGTACTTTGTATTCTTTCTGTCCTTTCAAGTTGATTGTTTTGTTTCATAGGCAGTCATGCTCTTCTGAAGAATAGTAAGTCATTGTTAATAAGATCTCATTGCAAAAAAAATCTTTTGAGTGATTTTTTTTCCCCATTATGTTTCAGATCGTTGTTATAATGAGAGGGTTGCCTGGCAGTGGAAAGACACATGTTGCGAAACTTATTCGCGTAAGTATAGAAAAATAATTTTCTTGTGTTAATGAATGTCATATTATTGATACACATATCCAATCCATTTGATTGACTTTAGTGACCTATAGATCCAAAGTAGATGATGTCCTTTATAGATTTGTATTCTATGTAGGCAAATATTTTTCCCTTTGCTTGATTTGAAAGTACCAGAAACAGTAGATGATGTCCTATATAGATTTGTATTCTATGTAGGCAAATATTTTTCCCTTTGCTTTATTTGAAAGTACCAGAAAATTATGTTAGCCACAGAAGGAACTTTGGTATGAATATTCATTAACTGATATCACAGATTTCTTTTTTTTTTTATACCAATGAGTGAACTCATGACCTCACACTTGCCAAGCAGGCACTTGTGCCACTGAGATAAATCCTCAGCCCTGCCTTTTTTTTTTTTTTTTTTTTTTTTTTTTTGTTACCGGGAATTGGATTACTGACTGCCTGCTTGCAAGGCAGTAATTATGCCACTGAGCTAAATCCCCAGCCCTTATTTTTTAACTTTTTTAACTGTTTGGCTCTTAGGATAAGGAGGTAGAATTTGGAGGACCTGCACCCAGAGTTTTAAGCCTGGATGATTACTTTATCACTGAAGTAGAAAAGGAAGAAAAAGATCCAGATTCTGGCAAGAAAGTAAAAAAGAAGGTATGGTATTTTCCTCTTAGATTATACACTGAATTAGATTCACTAGCAGTATTTAAAGAAAAATGTGTTAGAGTGTGGTGGCACAACCTGTATTCCTAGCACTCAGGAGGCAGAGGCCAGGAGGATCACCATGAGTTTGAGGCCAGCCTGGGCTACATACAGTAGGCCAGTCTGACTACATAGTGAGACACTGTCTCAAGAAAACAGGAAAGCAGAAAAACATGTTGAGAGAGAGATGAATTTTTTTGGTTGTAGTGCAGGCTAACCTTAAACTCATGATCTTCTTGCCTCAGGCTCTCACTTATTGGAGATTACAGTCATATGCCACCTGCTCCTGGCTTGAGATAGGTTTTTGAAAGCTAAAATTTTTCTCTTTTCTGAACATAAACTTTGGTACCTAGACTACCCAGGGAAAGGGTCTAAGATGCTGCTTTGCCTTAACTAACTCCAAATCTCTTTGGTGGGATGTTCTTAGGTAATGGAATATGAATATGAAGCTGAGATGGAGGAGACGTACCGGACTAGCATGTTCAAAACCTTCAAGAAGACTCTGGATGATGGCTTTTTCCCCTTCATCATTCTGGATGCTATCAATGACAGAGTTAGACATTTTGACCAGTTTTGGAGTGCAGCAAAAACCAAGGGATTTGAGGTATACCCCTAAAAGAACTTTAAAGCACTTCATTTTCATACAAGTTTTATATTGCTTTGTCTAATTTTTATTCACTGTTGCTTAGGTATATTTGGCTGAAATGAGTGCGGATAACCAGACTTGTGGCAAGAGAAATATCCATGGAAGAAAGCTTAAAGAAATAAATAAGGTGATTTTTCATAAATATAGAATGATGAAGTACCCTAGACTTGATTTTTCTCAGTGTCAGTACTGTTGTCTGGAAGCTCTTTATTGTTTATTCAATTTTTGGGGGGGATTTTTTTTAAATGTTTCTTTTCTTTTGATGTAGTGTAGTGAAAGGGCTGTCCTAGCCTTTCCTGGATAGGCGTGCTAGGCTTTATAATAATTAAATTTATCTCATAGCCATACTTGGTCTTTATTTGAGTAGATTACAATAGCTTGACCTCCTAAATCTTTCAATAGATGGCTGATCACTGGGAAACTGCACCTCGACACATGATGCGTCTAGACATTCGTTCTTTACTACAAGATGCTGCGATTGAAGAGGTAAATGTGCATGTTTGGCTCAAATGCAGTTTATGTATAGCCACAAGAGGATAGTACTGGGGATTGAACCCAGGGAATCGCAACCCTTTTTTATTTCAATACAGAATCTCACTAAATTATAAGTAAGACTTGGCCTATAGTTGGCAATCCCCATACCTCAGTATCCCAGATAGCTGGAATTACAAGTGTGCACCACTCCACCCAGCTAGCTATATATGTGTTATACATTTATTACTAGCAGTAACATTGGCACTATTATTATGGAACCATTTGAGGGTTAAGTTGCATAACATATTACCCCTAAATATTTCAGTAGATATCTTTTTTTTAATTTTTTTTTTTATTTTAAAGAGATTAAGACAAAAGAAGACATAACAAAGCAGATCAGATCAGAACAATGCAAGTAACACAGCATTTTACCACAAGACAACCCATAATTAACAGTAACTACCCTAGTGTCTCTCTTTGAAATAGTTGAGCATAGTATCAAGCATAAACAGTATAAAACCATTCAAGAGAGTGAAAGTATTACAGGTCTTTCAGAACCAAAGCAGAGAACGAACAATGGCTACTATATTATCTCATTTGCCATAGAAAATTTGTTTATATTATCACACATAATAATATCCAATAAGATATAACAGGATAGGGGCTAGGGATTTCGCTCAGCAGCATAAGCGCCTGCCTTGCAAGCAGGTAGTCGTGAGTTCGATCCCTGGTACCGATAAAAACGAAAAAAAGACAAAAAATAAAAAAAGATATAACAGGATAGAACCAAAGGCAACAGAAAAACAAAAGCATGATAGGACTTCAGAATAAGATGATACTAAATTAAGCTCTGACTATTCTAATGTCTTCTTTTAAAATAGCTATTTATACTATCACGGATAATAAAATCAAAGTAGGATAAAACCATTCCAACTAAAAAATGCAGGCATTATAAGGCTTCAGAGCAATGTAAAGGGGAATCATGATTACTGTAAACTCTTATATACTCTTACCACTTCTTACACTAGGGAGACTCTTCTGTGTTTATACATGTGAGTTTGATTTATTTCGCTAATGAGTATGGTCTCAAGTTGTGTCCATTTATTTATAAATATCTCAATGTGATCATTCTTTATAGTTGAGTAGTACTCCGTTGTATAAAAATACAACTTTTTTATCCATTCCTCAGTTGATGGACACTTAGGTTGTTTCCAAGATCTGGCTATTACAAATTGTGCTGCTGTAAACATGGGTGCACATATATCATTGTGGTATGACATTTTCAGTATATATTATACTTCAAACTTGACCTACCAAAATGCAATGCATCCAAACCTGTTTTTCTTCTAGCATTTTTTTAAAATTAGAACCACCAGTCATATCATTGGTAAAACAGTAATCTGGGAGTTTTCTTGGACTCCTTACAAACATTACCCTTTTATCCTTTACAAACGTTCAGCCCTGGCCTTCCACCATGTAGTCAGTTACAAATTTTATCCACTTTACATTATAAATACTTTGTTAATCCGTGTACTCTTACTTGCATTACTACTACTGTGGGCCAAACTACTATCTTACTACTTTTTTCACTGGACCTTTTTTTTTTTTTTTTTTTTTTTTTGGCTTTTTCGTTTTTATCGGTACCAGGGATCGAACTCACAACTGCCTGCTTGCAAGGCAGACGCTTATGCTGCTGAGCTAAACCCCCAGCCCCTCTGGACCTTTTCTTAAAGTTTAACATCTGAGTCATTGTTCTACATGATTAGAAAATACTTGTTAAAGGTTTTAAAAGAAGTCCTAGAAATCCATAAAAGCTTTCAAAACAGGTAACCCAGCTACTTGGAAGAAAGCATTATACTTTATAGGGAGTTAAAAAGATGGAGATCACAGGAAAACTACAGGGTAAAATATCATTGTGTTTTTATCAGTTCTGTTTCAAAATTAGAATGTTAAATATGGGGATTTAGCTCAGAGGCACAATTCTAAGTTTAATTCCTGCTACCAAAAAAAACCTTAGGATGTTAAAACATTATGTAGTGTGTAAAAATGAATACATAAATAAAAATTATATCAATATGTAATAGTGAATCTATGCTTTCTTACTCTGGACAATGGTGATCATTCCAGATCTTTAATACTTCAACATTGTCCTAAATACTGCCATCATCTTTTTTTTTAAATGATTATTGGCATATTATAGGTAGAGATGGAAGACTTTGATGCAAATATTGAAGAACAAAAGGAAGAAAAGAAAGATGCAGAGGAAGAGGAAAGCGAACTGGTAGGAGACAGACCAACCACTTTGAACAAAGTGTCTTTTTGTTAGAATTCTTAACTAGGATTTATATTGAGATCTATGGTCAGATACTATTGTTAATATACACATTATAATGGTGAAAAATATAGTCATCTTTGAGGAAACTTTTGGATACTTTTTTCTTTTTCTCTAAACCAAAAAAGAACCCTGTAATGTTAAACAGAGTGCTAAGAAACTTACACTTGTGGGTGATTTTAGAAGAGTATATTTTTAAAGTAAATCAATTACATATGAAAGAACATTCTTACATTCCAGCAGATGTGTGGTACAACCTATTCAACATGCACATAATTATCTCTTCTTTGCTACAAATCTCAAAATCAAGTTTGCCAACTGAGGCATAAAAACTTGAGTGAGAAGACAGATGGTTTGCCACTGGCTGCTGGATTTGTTCTTCTGCATTTTATCCTGTTAAGTGATGGGGAAAATTATTTGACTGTATAGGTAGTGGGATATGCTTAGGCTGATTGGAGGCTTACATACTGTGAGTTCAAAGTTCCTGTGTACCCACTGTAAATGCTTCTGGTCACACCTCTGTAGAAGTGTTTGCCTCTTCCTGTCTTTGAAGAAAATGCGACCTAAAAAGTTATGATGACTTAAGTGTTTGCTGATGAAGAACAGAAATTAGCAATGTTTGGGATAGTGTTACTTTTAAAATCCAGAATATTTGGTTTATTTAATACTTCAGTGTCTGCTAAAGTTGCTTTTCATAGTCCTGGAAATGTACAAATTGAGAACCTGATTCCTACCCCATAGAGTATATGGAATCTTCAGGGAATGGTCCCATGTGTGATACAGAGAACTCTGGATAGAAACTGTGTTTATACAGAAATGGTGTCATTGCCTGCATTCCTAGATTTTAAATGTGGATTAAAAAGTAACCTTTAAAGTTAATGGCATTTGAGTCCTAATATGTTTCCTTTTTATTTTTAAACAAAGTTTATTTTTCTTAAGTTTGTATTTTGACATGAGTAATCTAAAATGTAGCAAGTAATTCACTTACAGGTCCACGCTGTTCTGGAATATAGTTAACCTCTTCAGCTACTTGCAGCGTGTATGCTAGAAAGTAACCCTGTGAGAAGTCTACAGTGTTATGTATTACCTTTCCGAAACTCCCATCTTTTGTGGAGATTTTATTTCAGGATATGGTTCACAACATCTCATTTGCTTAGGTGTAGGTCAAAACTTGAAGTTTTTAATTGAATGTACAATTATTTTTTAAAATGAAATCACGAATACTGTATTTTTACACCAGTGATACAACTAGGAAGCCTTAGCATTTTCCCCTGCCGCACTGTCTCTTACTTCAGGTGTATTGCTACTTTAAGCAGTGGGAAGATAATAAACTTTTAAGGAAGAACAGATGGTTTCAGCAGGGGAAATTAATACACTCATTTGCTTATCTTTATATTCTAAAACTTCTCTTAACTCATTCAGAGAACAGAATCCAGGTCTTCTACTATTGGTGTTTATCCCAAGAGTAAAAGTTCTTTGGAGAATATTAACTAATGGGTTAAGAGCAAGTACCGTGTCATTCAGACCCTTTTAACAGAATTTTCACTAAACTGCATTTTCTACTCTTTACTGATTAATACAACTGGGCAAAATCCAAACATTTCTTGGTTAAGAGAATCCTTTTTGTGGGATCATCAGTGTGACAGTTTGTCTTCTTTACTGCTTCAATGAATCTAGTGGATATGATTTAGCGTTTATAAATATGCCAGCAATGTTTAAGATTTTCAGATGATTTTTGAGATGTCACTTGTACAAGTTTCTTCAGTCCTTTTAGTGCCATCACTTCAGCATAGCTTTGTATTGGTTTGTTCTTTTAAAATGTATCTGGAAAAATGATATAATTTTATAATCTGATTTACTACTTACTAAGTCAAAATTGAATTATTAATTCTGACTGAAAAACTAGGAATGTATAAAACTCATAGGTTTCCTGGAATAATGATGATACTCAAGTAAACTTCCATGGAAGCGTTTGTAATGGTATCTTCAACATGCTTTCTGACTCAGCTGTGTGTCAGTCTGTTCTATCAACTCAAACATTCTCAATAGTATAGATACAATCATTCATAAAAGAAGATGCTGACACCTTTGATGTATCTGTTCTGTTTACTGGGTCCTAGTATTAAATGTTCTGTGTGGTAGGATCTAATAGGAAATGGAATCCAAATAAAGGAAAGGGGGAATCATGATAAATGTCACGGAAAAAGCATATACTTGCTTAATGAGTAAATGGAAGGAATTACTACATAGTTTAGCAGGCACATTGGAAAACTGGAAAATGTTTTGGGAGTTTGTTTGAAATAAACCACTCATTTATCTTATGAAGTCTAAGATGTTAATTGCCTGTGGCGATTTCTGGTCTTTCATATAGTAGAACATAATTTTAGAAGACATCAAGAATAATAATCTCATATACAACTGATAAAAATGCTTTGAAATTGATTCAATAAAATTAGCCTTTGTAAGATCTAACTGGTACATGGATTGAGTCATTTTTAAGTGAATTTGAACTTCATAATTGGGCAGTTGGGTTCAGTGATATTAGTTCTTTTTTCTTTTGATTATTTAAAATCACACTGAATATCAAGTAATTGTCTTCAAGAACACATTTAGAACCTCATGGCTACAATCACTTAAGAGTAGCAATTGTATTTAGAAAATAACCTAGCTAGTATCGTAAATTCTCTGAACTCTAAGTGATATTAATATTGGCACAGTAACAACCTGTACTTTCTTATCATAATTGCTATTCAGCTGTTGTTCGGACTACAGTTGTGAGTCCTGAACTGTAGCTGCCACAAAGCGCCTTCATGATACTACCCTGAAGTGACAACTCTGAAATCTGTGCAGTCAAGTTTGGTGAATTTGGTCATTTAGTTTCTTCAACAATAAGATTGTGTTTTCCCTAAGGATATACTTATAATTAGTGAGTGGAAACTGAATCCATTCCCAGTTTTAATGCTTTTCCAGTTCAAAAGTGTTATGCATGTATGTGTCTCTTTCTAACCCTTCGAGCTTCTCTCTGTGTACGATTTAGGGTTACATTCCGAAAAGCAAATGGGAGATGGACACATCTGAGGCAAAGCTAGGTGGGTATTTCCTTTTTCCTGTTTTTCTATGTGATACCTGATGGTAATGGTCATAGAGCTTTCTGCTGTAAGAAGAACAAATTTCTCAGAAGCATTGCTTACTTCAGGAGTTTTGGCCTACCTGACATCCTCCAGTCTGTTTCACTAGCTTTTGGTTTAGTTATATCTTATCACAGAGTGAAAAGAAGAGTATTTTAAAAGAACTGATTTCATTACCATTTAGAATAAATGAAAATATTTGTAAGCAAAATGCTGTCATTTTTACATTCTTTTTTATATTAATCAAATACTGATGCTGATGCCATTTTTTAAAAATATTTAACTGCAGTCCAAAGGTGATCCTTTTTTTAAAAAAATAAAGTTGATCCTGTTTATGAATACTTAGGATGATAGTTATACATATTAAACATTTTTTTAAAAAAGTTAAAAGATATTTTTCTTACAGAGTTTTGGGTAGAGTGAAGTAGATACATAATTTAGATTTTTCAAGAGGCTGTCGTATGAAATTTCATTTAAAAATTCCTTCATTTAAAAGTTATCTTTAGTGCCACATTACAAGATTAACAAATTAAAATGATTGTCTAAATCAAATTTTGGAGTTGCTTAAATGTGAAGCTTTTCCTCAAGCAAAAACGTATGTATTGAATGGTTTCCTACAGTATTTCACAGTGATACTGTAAAATGTTTTAAAAGTTTTTCACTTCACTTGAACACCCTAACATCTTGATTAAGGTATATCAATAAAAGTCTAAGAAAACATGGTAGGGACTTTTTGATGGACAAAGGCCTCACTGGTGTTTAAAACTGTCAGTTTTTGTGTTTCTCTTCCTGGTATCATGCTGTTGCTCCAAAATTGAAATAACCATCTAAGCATCTTAAATTCATAGAGCACGTTTAGTCATTTAGCTGCTTAAGTACTTAGGACACGTTGTGTTGCCGACATCAAAAGAGAGTACATTTAACACACAAATTACATGGTTTATGCCTTCCGTTGTGCCCTAAGTCTTAATAGATTTGTTTAGTGTATGTCAAATGAAAATTATATGTGATTAGCTGGACATAATGTTGCATTCCTGTGATCCTAGCACTCCAGAGGGTGATGTAGGATCACAAGTTTGAGACCAGCCTGAGCAACAACACATTTCCGTTTGACATGGACTATGAAGTGAGACTGTGTTTAAAAAAAAAAAAAAATATATATATATATATGTGTGTGTGTGTATACATATACGTATACATATATGTGTATATATGTGTATGTGTGTGTGTGTGTGTGTGTGTGTATATATATATATATATATATATATATATATATATATATATATAAAATCTTATGGGCATATTCTTTTAATGATTGTCCCTCTTAGAAAATCTTAATAACCAACTATCTTCTTTTCTAGACTGACAGTAAGCACTTGTGTCTTCAAGTGCAATTAAATGCTGGATGTGGTGGCGTACACCTATAATCCCAGCACACAGGAGGATTGCCACAAGTTTAAGGCCAGCCAGAGCTACATAGTGAGCTCAAGGCCAGCCTGAACTACATAGCAAGACCCTGTCTCCAAAATCCAAAGACTATAATAAAATTAAAAAATACATACATAGAATTAATATTTAGGAGAATAACATGCACAGATTACTTTTTTAAAAACAAAGCTGCTTTAGTTCTTATTTTGACATTAGATTAATTCTGTTTAAAGCTCTGTACTTTTAAATAACCTGTAAGACTCTAATTTCTTTCCTCTCATTCTCTAAATAGCGATCATTCTTTGGGGCAAAGAGACCATAAATAAAAATAGACAAGGCAGTTGTAAAAGTGGTAAATATTATAGCCAAGCAGATATTCATCAGAGGTATTGT